ATCACATGAATGCATACACAATCACACACAGTAACAAAGGCTCTGCAGAGCAATATAGAGCGCACTAGGAAACGGGGAGGCTAATTTAGACTAGGGGTCAGGGACGACTGGGGACGCAGGGTCTCCGTCTCCCTCTTCTCTTACACATTTCTGTCTCTGTGCACTAACAGGCTTGCTATGGGATGAAAGCTCCTTGCTCCAGGCTGGGTACACAGGAACAATTCAATAAACTTGCCTCCTGTTATCATTTTTCTCCCCACCTCCTGCCACCCGTCATTCACACCCACCTCCAGAGGGGCAAAGGGCTGAGGACTGAGAGCCAGAGAGTGGAAGGAGCCACACTTTCTTTGGCTCCCACTCTGGGCCCAGCATGCTGCCAGGACCTTTACAGACGTGCTTTCACTGACCACAGTGACATCCCATGGGGCGGGTGCTAAAACCATCCCCATTCTGCAGGTGGGGAAACTGAGGCCCAGAGAGGCCACAGCAGCTAGGGGGCAAAGCCGAGACAAGAACCTAAAGGACCTTGGCTCTGGAGTCCATGTTCTTCCTGCAACTCAGCACGCTGCCAGGATAAACAGCAGCTGGTGGCGGCAAAGACAAAATACAACGAAGAAAAGAAAACCACTGAAAACAATGCAGACACCCAGCAACTGAGGATAAGTTAGATAAATTATAGAATATTCCCTCAATAGGATCCTCTGCTGCTGCTTGAAGAAATGAAGTAGATAAATGCTTTTCACACTCCTGTACTGTTTTTCTTTTTGCCATAAACATGCCTTATATCTAAACTTATTTTAACGTGGGTATGAGTTCTTGCACAATTCACAGGTGTGCAAGAAACAGAGCATCTGTCCATTTGTTTCACATCACCTTTCTTTCTATCCAAAGCCCTATCTCGCCAGGCTGGTGAGGAATTCAACCTCAGCCATTCTTCATTGTCCTCGCCAACACACACATCATCCCCATCCCGGGATAGTGCAAAAGTCCTGGGGTCACGTGTAGCAGCAAGTCAGTGGGCAGAGTGGAAAGGACCTGGTGTCAGGGGGCGTGGGCACGGCGGGCAGGGCTGGAAACTGTGCCTGTGCCCCTGTGAGGTCTCACCAGCTCCCCCAGGCTCTGCTTGGCTCCCCCAGCTCAGCAGGAACTGGTGCCCCCACCCTTGCTCATAGACACACAGCCCTCTGTCTCCTCTTCCAGTCACAGAGAACTTCTTTGGGGTCTGGGAGAAACCGCCCCCCTGCTCTAATCAAGTCCCTTCACGGGCTCTGGCTTCTCCTCTCCCTCCAGGAGGCACCTCTGCTGCCCCATCACTGCTCCCTCCTCCACTGCCCAGAAGCTCCTCAACAAACTTGGGCTTTTGGATATGGTTGGATATGGGCTAAATGTAGGAAGGGAAGTCGTTTTGTAGGAAACCTCTCTCCTCCTTCTCACTCTTCCTCAAACCTCCCCCAAGGCAAGGAGGTCCGGAACCTTTTTCCCCTGCGTGCTTGGCAGAGAAAAATTAATATCTCAAAAAGCTATCTTGTCACTTCTCCTGCTGCTAAACATATGTGTATATTATATAAACATACATAGTATACATTTATTTATAAACATACACATATATATGGGGGTGTGTGCTACACTATTGCTACCCAATAGTCCTGAGTAAAAGATATGTTTTCTTGTTTATTATTTCTACTATCACTAAAATTAATGACCATCTCACATGTTGTATCATATACATATATATATTCATTCAGCTGCAAGGAACTTAATACCCAACTAATAGGGGCTGAAATATATTGGTGTTTTTCTTTCTCACATAACACAAGTCTGGAGTCAGGCTCAGTAGGGTTGATGCAGCAGCTCAAAGGACCTAGACTCCTTCCGTTTTTCTGTACCACAATCACCATGTTGGTTTCTCATCTTTGAGCTTGTTGCCTCATTGTCCCAAGATAGCTGCTGTAGCTCCAGGCATCATCTTTGTGTTAAAAAGGAAAAGGGGGAATGAGTGGTGCCTTGTAAAAGAAAAGCAGAAACTTTCCTAGAATTGCTCCTTAGCATTGCCACTTGGATCTAATTAGTGAAAATGTTGTCAGGTGCCCACTTCTAACTCTCAGGGAAGCTGCAAAGTGACCAGTTGGCTTTTCCAGCCTTTCTAACGGAGAAGCGGATTGGGAATGACTGCTGGTTAACCACAGTGTCTGCCTCATAAAAGCACCACGCTTACAGTTTACAAAACAGCTACTGTTGCTATTTTACAGAAGTTGCAGTTGAGGCCCAGAGTGAGCAACTGAGTTGCCTAACGTCACACGGTGACAGAGCGATACAGACAGAACTGGAGCCGAGCCCAGGGCTCTTTCCGCTACCCACACTGCCTGTTTCCCCAGGTGACCTGCAGGCTTTGCGCTCGCTCTGCGAGACAGTTGTTCTACAACAGGGTCCAGAGTCGCTCCAGGGCAGGTTGGGCTGAGGCTGCTGCTCATATCTACAGTGATAAGAGCCCGGGCCTGGGCGGGGCAGGCCCCGGGACAGGACAGCAGGTGTCCAGGGACAGAGTACAGGCCCTCGGGGATGAAGGCAGCCTTTCCCCATCACAGGTCCAGCCCGGAAGCCCAGCCCGTCAGGGGCAGGCAGACAAAGAGAACTGGGGTCCTACATGCCTGTCACACAGGCCGACGAAGGAGGGGCTGTGACCAGGGAGAGTGAGAGGGGAGAGAGGTGACAGAGGAGGGGATGAAGGAAAACAGGAGGGAACTGAGACAGAGGAGGTGATGGCGAAGAAGAGGTGGAGGAAAGATGGAGGTCGGGGAGGGGGGAGGGAGGAGGGAGGGAAGAAAAGAGGGAGGGAAGGGGAGAGGGAGGGATGACATGTGGAAGCCATGATGCTGGGCAGGAGGAGATGAGGGGGCACCCAGCAAACAAGCCAAGGGGGCTTCCTAGCCCCTGGGTGGGCAGCGGGCCAGGCCTGACACCTGCCCCCACCTCCCCCACCTCGACCACCAGGTACGTGAGTGTGGGGAAGTCCTTGCTGCCTGGGGGATCAAAGGCAGCTTCTGTGGTGACCTCCAAACTGGGGCCTGAAATCTTCAGCCAGGCATTCCGTCTGGCCCCTGCCTCCTTCCCCGCCAGGCCTGCCCCAGCCCAGACCCTGGCACAACTCATGCTCAGTGCATGTTTGTTGAATGAATAATCGAAAAACTACAGAGCAACAGGGATACAAAAGCAAGACAAAATTGCCCACTTCTACAAATGTATAAACAAGGTTATCAGGAGCACAATGTGGACATTTCTCCCACAGGGGAAATAAGGAGAGAAATGAAATCTCACGCATTAGGGGAAGGACGCTCAGGCTGCTCCACGGAGAGGGATCTCCTTTGGCTGAAATGCACCAGGGGACAAGAGCATCCGCAAGATCTGACCCAGGGGCGACAGACTTGTCCTCAGCCCCTGTCCCACTCCAGGCCCCACCCCCTCTGCTCCGGGCCCTGGCACCTGCCTCCAGCTACTGCACCTCCATTTCATCCCGGGAAATCTTTCTAAAATAACAACCTGACCATGTCACTGCTCGCCTCTAAACTCTCCAGGGCCTCCCCAAGATCAGCTCACACCTTCACTGCTTCTCCCCTGCTCAAAAACCCTCCGTGGCTCCCCTCTACCCTGAGGATAATATCTGGTCTCCTCTCCCAGCTCACACCGCCTCCTGATCCCCACCCGCTCTCTGTACCCCAGCCACCCTGCACTTCTCATTGGTCCTGCAATGCCCCCCTCTCTTGTGCTCACATGCTATCCCTCTCCCTAGAGCATTCTCACTCTCCTGATGTGGCTGACTCCCACTCGTTCTCCAGGATATCCGTCCCGACTCCCGGCCCGGGTCAGGCGCCTCCTTGGTGCACCTGTGTGGCCTCCACCACTGCACCCCCTTGTGACCCGAGCTCCTTGGAGCAGGCCCCCCACCGCCGCATCCCCAGCACCCATCACCAGTCACGTGAATACCTATTTGCTATACCCGCAAGTGAAGGGGTGAATGGCCTGTTGTCAGCCATCACAAAACCAAGACCAGGCTCTGGGGCCCCTGTCCATGGCCCCCACATCACCGTGTGCCTTCAGAGACGGGTAGGCTGCTTCATCTGAGCCTCACAATAGCCTGGGAGTGGTGGCGCTTTTCCGCCTGATGAATGAGGAGCCAGGGCCCAGAGAGGGGACAGACTTGCCCCGAGCCCCACAGAAGCCCCATGGTTTCTGCAGTTCAGCTGGATCCAGCCCAGCCCGACTGATTCCAGAGTGCATGTTCTTCCCCACTGCGCCCTGAGACCTGGAGATTGGTTAGATTCTTCTCTGCATTCTCCATGGCACCTGGCCCAGAGGAGGTGCCAAGGTTACGACAGGAAGAAGGGGAGGGTGGTGATGAGTTCCTCAGCAGGACCTTGGAGGAGGGTCAGAGGCGGCTAGGACCTCAGGGCCGGCGCAGGTAAGACAACCCTGAAGACGGCCCTCTCAGCCACCTCGAGTGGCCCCCTCTCCTCCCTGACACCGCCGCACCACCCCTCACGTGGACACTCCTCCAGCTTCCTGCTGCTCCCACTTTTTCTGACCCCCAGACTCCCTTTTTCTGAAGCCCCTGCTCCCTCTAGCCCCACCCTCAGGCTCTCCATGACCCAGAGGACAGAGCCTAAGTCCCTCTGCCTGGCCTTCAAGGCCCCTGGTGGTCTGGGCCCAATGTGTCAGCCTCCTCAGCCCTGACGTTCTGTTCCCAGCCCCTACACCGGCCTCGGATGGGGTGGGGGCCGCGCCGAGGGTGAGGGCACAGGACGTGGGAGGAACATACACTGGCTTGTTTATTGGGCAAAGTCTTAGAGACTCAGCAAGGCACAGAGTCAGGGAGGGGGCGGGGCGCCCTGGGGGTCGCGGTTAAGAATACCAGGCATCAGTGCTGGCGCTCCATCGTGCTGAGTGCTCCCGCTCTCTGAGCGTTTCTCTCCTTCTGGGCCCTCTCCCGGGGAGCCTGAGAAAAGGGGCCCTTTTTTGCCAAGAGGGTGAGTGTGGGCGACTAGGGACAAGGGTAAGGAAGAGGCAGCGCCCTGGTCTGGGGGCAGCGGGAGGGTGGGGCTGAGGCCTGGGCCTGATGCTCCTCTTCCCTGAAGGCACTGAGAATAGAGGGGCCCAGCTGGGCAGCAAGTCCTGCAGGGGGCAGGGCAGGGCAGCCCGCTGACTGTCACTGAGCCCTGAGGCACCAGGGGGGAAGCTGCGGCGGGCTGCCTCAGCTGAAGTCACGATTGGGCAGGAGGAGGGGGGCTACCAGGGTCCACAGGTAGAGGAGCAGCCCTGCCCAGCTGGCGCAGATCTTCACCCACACGGCGGTCCACGTGCTGATCATCTTCCGGGTCTCGCCAGGTCTGGAACACAACATCAGCCCAGTGAGCCTGGCCCCCAGTGCTGTGACCTCAGTCTTGACCCTCACCTTGCGACCCAGTGATGACACCTGACTTCAACTCTGGCTCTTACTCTGTGACTCTAGCCCGCACCTCTGATATTTTTGACACTTGTCCTTAAGACCCTAGACATAGCTCTTGGCCTGGTACCATAGACCTGACCCTGACCGCAACTCCAACCTTGACCCCAGTCCTAGACTGTAATATTGTGACCCGATTCCTGGTCCCTAACCTTGGAATCCTAATTCTGTGACCTTGCTCCTGGTGCCTGCCTTTGGGGCCCTGGCACTCCTGACCTCTAATCTTGACTCTGCCCCTCAATCCTGTAACCGCCCCCCATGACCCCCGACCTTATGACGACAGTTCTGATCTCTGACCTCAGTTCTGACCCTCGACCCTGTGACCCCAGTCCTGGCCCCTGACCTTGTTACTTTGATCTTAGCTCCTTGACCTCGCCACTTCAATCCTGGCTTTATGGTCTCCTAACCCCAATTTTAACCAAATGACTAACTTTGTGACTTTATTTGGCCCCGATTCCAACTCTTGACCTCATGACTCCTATTCTCGACCCTGTGATTCTGACCCCACACCCTAATCCTAACCTCCAACCATGAATCCTAAATCTGACCCCATAATCCAAATCACCACCCCGATCTGTAAACCTGGCCCGCCCTGCACAGGCCCAGCCCCACCTCCTGTGATCCCCACTTTTCAGGCACTTAGCGAAGGTGCCAGGAGCTGAGTGGACTAAGGTACTGGCAGAGAAACTGAGGCACAGAGGGGGCAGACTGCAGAGGGTTCTAGATAGACACCTCCACGCCCGAGCCTTGAGCGGGCATCAGGAGTAACCCAGTGCGGGGCCAGGGGAGAGGAGACGTGTGCACCGGGCACCGCAGGCTCCCTCCACACCCAGCCAGTTGCACGCACTTGTACCAGTTGGTGAGCGTCATCATGATGTGCAGGGAGGCGAGCACCAGGCAGAAGTGGAAGAAAGAGTAGCTATAGGTGACACCATCCTGCTCGTTGTCGAAGGCCCGGCCCTCGGAGGCTGCCACCTGCTGCTGCCCGGCCTCCAGCATGGGCGGGCAGTCTTCTGTCTGCATCAGGCTGTTCACCTGCCGGTGGTCCGAGGAGCGCACGCTGCAGGGGAGCGAGGGGGGCAGTCAGGGCTGTCACTGCCGAGGTGGGCAGGTGGGCAGTGCCAAGGGGCCTCGCGAGCCACGGCGTTGGTCATCATGGGCAATGGGCATGATGGTCCCAGAGCCTCTGGGGCCGGTGACCTGGTGGTTTGGGCTGGACCAGGAGTTAACAAACGACTCTCAACTCTACCCTCACTCCCTGTGCGACCTCAGGCAAGACACTTAACCTCTCTAAGCCTCTGATTCCTTGTCTGTAAAGTCAGGGATAACAGCACCTCCCTTGTAGGGCTGCTGGAGGAGTACATGGAATAATGATGTAAAGCCCCTGGCACAGAGTATAAACCAAACAAACGGTCACTATTATTCTGGTTGTTCATTTGCCATTTCCAGAAACATGCATTGAGTACCCAGCACTGCAAGCACCACACCAGGTACTACACTCGTGAATACTGTTAATAATTCATAATGCTCGTTTGCTATTAAGTTTGTTTTCCTTTTACTGGTTTTAGATATGTAGTTTTACCAATTACCTCCCTTTCTTCCTGTTTATAATAAAAAAATAATAATAGTAATGATTTTTTGTCGTTGCTTTTTCTATAATGAGGTCTTGATGTTTTTAACAGTATTTGATGGTTTGAGACAAAGATAACAATTTTGAAAAACCAACTTGTATTTTGAAACAGTGACACAGAACGAGACCTGGATTCCAGCCCCACCCGATCAAATTGAGAAGCGGCCCCTTGCTGAGCTTCGGCTGACCCCAATCACGAGATCCGGTGTGGATATTCAGTGCCTGGAGCCCAGGGCCGGGCGATCTGGCTGAGGCAGGAGCCACCATCAGCAGCCCCTGCCCTCCCGGGGGCTTATGCTTCTCTGCTTCCTGTGCTTTAAGAACTGTGCTGAGGACAGACAGGCCCTCCCTGGGCTCTCGGAGGTGCTGCCCGGTGACCACAGCCAAGGAGGTGTGAGGGTGAGAGGTATCAGGAAGCACAGCGTTGTGCCTGGGTCGGGATGGGGACAGGCAGAGAACCAGGGGCAGGGAAAGTGTGCTCACGGCCTCAGACGAGCAGCGGCTCCTCCCTGAGCTCACAGCTTCCTCATCTGTAAAACGGAGGTGATGTGGACCTTTCCAGATTGAGAAAGGAATTAAATGAGGTGACAAAGAAGAGAGATGTTTGTGAACTGCCCAGACTTGAAGACAATGTTTTGGAAAAGGTCAAAATAAAATGTGAAACAGCCTCAAAATGTTCTGGCCCAGGGGCAGGGGGCAGGTGTGCTGCTCATAGGAGAACAGGCACGGCCCGATGGATGACCAGGTAGGACGGAGGAGCAGGGCAAAGGTTCCCTCAAGGGAGCAGAGGGCAGACATAGAAAGTGGCGCTTAGAGAAATGCTGGGCCACGGAGAGGCAATAAACGAGTCTGCTAGATTCAGTGTAAACAATAATTATGCTCAATATTATCATCTAGTGACGCTAACAAAACAGCCACTCACAGCCACCCAGCTGTGCAAATGTTCACAGTTACTTGTAACAACAGCAAACACTTATTTGGCGCCTACCACTTGCCAAGCTCTTTTCTCAGTGCCTTATACATATCAGCTCATCTACACCCCTTCAACAATCCAACGAGGTAGGTACTATTTTTATCCCCGTTTTACAAATAAGGAAACTGAGGCACAGGAAGATTAAGTGACTTGCCCAAAACCACACTGCTAGTAAGTGGCAGTGCCAGGTTCAAACGCAAGTAGTCTGGCTCAAGGCCACCCCAATAAGCACTTGCTAAGATGCCCCTTTAAAAAAAGTTGCCATGTGATCTTAAGTGTGAACTGCTCTCTCTCAGGTGAGATGGTGAGGTCACAGCCACCGTAGGCATGGAGGTTTCCATCTTCCTTTTACTGAGGAGGAAAGCGAAGCTCAGAAAGGTGAAGCCACTTACCCCAAGGCCACACACACAGCAGGTGAGTGACAGTGCGTGGGCCTGCTGGTCCCAGTCCAGGCTCCTTCCCTGACCCCACAGCTGCCTGCACCTGACTGAGCTGGGCACATGGCAGCAGGAAAGGGCCCTGGGCCAGGAGGCAGGGTGCAGCCCTGCCTCTGCTGCCCAATCACGCTGTGCCCTCTGAGGGGCTCAGTTTCCCCACCAGCACAGTGCAGGGGCTGGACATGCTACTGGCCGACGGCGCCTTCCAGCTTGATGTCTCGGCTCCCACATCCTCCCCTTACTTCCGGCTCCAGGCCCCTAATCATGACCCCACCCCAGAAACCAGCCCCTCACCATACCTGATGAAGAGGGTGCACAGGATGAAGACGATGAGCCCCACGATGCTTGGCGCATCCCACCACTGGGTCTCATAGCCCTCGGGGCCAGCCAGGCTCGTCCCGTTGCTGGAGGAGGCCAGCAGGTGGGGGTTGCATTTCTGGTCTGGGGGTGGGAGCACGGTCACTCTCAGGCCATGCGGGCCAGGTCTGAGTAGCCAGGTAGCCCTGAGGGCAGAGAGCCAACCCAAATGGACAGACGGACAGACCCACAACCCACCACCCAAGTCCCAGTGACAGCACTTAGCAGACAAAATGACAGGGACAGCTCCAGGAACAGACAGGGTCCTCCCGCCCGCCTGCAGGACTGAGTCTTGGAACGGGCTGGGGCTGGGATGTCCCTGTCCCCTGTGAGGGCCCCAACCCCCCAGAGGGCCTCTGCGGGGCCAGGAATGAGGCCAGGCCTCCTCAAACCCAGGCCTATACTCACCAGGGACGTTGGACAGGGCCAACCAGGTGACAAATATGGTGTAGAGCATGATGACAGAGGCCTGCAGCAGACCTGAGTTGGGCTGGGCGTTCTGGCAAGAGCAGTCCATCAGTGTGACCCCTGCAGACCCGGGGACACCCGCCCCACCCAGCCTACTCACACCCAAGCGGGGCACCTCAGACATCCCCCCCACCTCAGGGCAATCCCACCCCACCCCCGTGGGGAGGACCCACCACCCAGGCTGCCTCCACCCCCTCACCCACCAAAAGTGGGGTCCCTGTTCTTTCTCTTAACACAGGACCCCACTTGTCCTCCTGCTGCAAACCCTTCAAGGGCGGCATCTCTTCACGCTCTGAATCAAAGCCCTCCCTGGTTACCCCACCTTCATTTCCTCCTGACCCTCTGCCACACTCCTCCCTGCTGACAACACCCCAGCCAGGGTGGCCTCCTCGCTGAAACCTGCCAAACCCTCTCCTACCTCAGGGCCTTTGCACCCGCCATGCCCTCTCCCTGACGTGTTCCTCCCCCACATCTCCACACAGGCAGCCTCTCTCTAGTACTCAGGCCTCAGCTCAAACAGGACCCCAGAAGGCCCTGAGAACCCTGACTCCAGCCACCCCGGCCCCGCCTGCCCCCCGACTTTTTAGCCCACACCCTCTTTTATTTCCCATGTAGCACTTATCATCAAAAATCACCTTACTTGGCCTCATCTCCTCTTGATTGTTCTTCCCCCCACCACACACACACTTGAAAATATGAATCTAAGCTCTGTGATTAAGAGCACAGGCTCTGAGCCAGTCGGCCTCGGTTCAAACCCCAGCTCCACCCCCCACTAGCTGTGTGACCTCAGGGCAGTCTCCTGACTCCTCTAAGCCTCCGTTTCCTCATCTGTAAAATGGGGATGAGGATGGTGCAAGGACTAAATGACACGATAGATGCCATTAACTGTTAGCTATTCTTCTTTGTCTTCCTCCTCTTCCTCACAGCTGTATCCCCAACATCTAGAAGAGGGCCTGGTACACAGTAGGTGCTCAAGAGGTATTTGCTGAATGAACACTCATTGCTGTGTGACCTGGGACAGAGGCATCACCCTCTCTGGCCTTCAATTTCCTCACTGGGAAATGAAGGCTCTGACCAGAAGGGAGGTTCCCAACCTTTCTGCTAAAGACCCTCAAAGACTACCTAAGCTACCTTTGAAAGCCCTGGTGGGCTGACAGCCCAAATGGTGAAGTACCGCTGAACTCTTTTTTCTGAAGAACTAACGATTCCCTTAGGGTCCCCCACCCATTATCCCAGACGCTCTGGGATTGGAAACTGTGCAAGCGCACCTTCCAACACCACTTCTTGAGGTGTCTAGGAATCGTCCTTCAGTGACCCTCCCTAATGTTCTCCTGATTTGCATAAAAACAATGACAACAACAATAATGATAACAATAGCCAATGTCTGATGGATATCCATATGCCAGGCACTAAGTGTTCAAAAATATGATCTTGAGAATAACTCCAAATAGTCAGTATTATTATCCCCATTTTACATTTGAGAAGCGAGAGGCACAGAGTGGTTAAGACACTTTCCCAAAGACACTCAGCATGTAGATGTGAGAGCTGACTCTAACCTAGGGAGGCTGACTTGGGAGCCCACACTCTTAGCCCAAGCCTCTGTGACTGACAGCCCCTGCCCCAGGAGCCCAAGGTCCCTACAAGAAGTCCCACACCCAGGGGCCTGGTTTCAGGCCAGGTAGAGGCAGGCAGCCTCACCTGGACCTTGGGCAGGATGGCGACAATGGAGACACAGACGCAGAGGGTGAGGTTGAGGCTGATGAAGACCTTGCCCTCGTGGCAGGCGCCGGGCCGGGTGTAGTAGATGAAGAGCAGCGTCACACCCGCGATGGACAGCGCGTAGAAGAGGAGGGTGAAGATGAAGAGGCCTGGGCAGGAGGGCAGCAAGTGGGTGGGTCAGGAGGCCCGGGGACCCTGCTCCCTCGAGGGGGCCTGTCAGGCAGTCCTCCCCGTCTCGGGCCGCAGCCTCCTCACCCGAGGAATGACACAGGGTCTCCTAAACCTCCGTCACTCAGCAACGCCTTGTGAGTTTCTGCCTGATCCTGAACTAAAACGACTCACTTGCCATCCATAAGGTAACCATAAAAATAAGTACAATGAATACAAAGCAGTCTTTTAAAAAATGCCCTAGGGGCCCGCCCGGTGGCATAGCGGTTACGTTCTAGCTTTCTGCTTCATCGGCCCGGGGGTTCGCCAGTTTAGATCCTGAGCTCGGACCTACTCACTGCTCATCAAGCTACGCTGAGGCGGCGTCCCACATAGAAGAGCTACAACTCTACAACTATGATACACAACTATGTACTGGGGCTTTGGGGAGGAAAAAGAAAAAGAGGAAGATTGGCAACAGATGTTAGTGCAGGACCAATCTTCCTCAAAAATAAAGAAAGAAAATTAAATTAAATGAATAAATAAAAAGTGCCCTAGATGCATGGTGATCTGCTAAAGCCCTGCTCTGTCCGCCAGACCAGCAAGGAGAGAGGCGTGAAAGCCAGCCAGCACCTAAGTGAGCCTTTCTTCTTTTTTTTTTTTTAATTTTTTTTTTTTAATTTATTTATTTGTTCCCCCAAAGCCCCAGTAGATAGTTGTATGTCATAGCTGCACATCCTTCTAGTTGCTGTATGTGGGACGCGGCCTCAGCATGGCCGGAGAAGCGGTGCTTCGGTGCGCACCCGGGATCCAAACCCGGGCCGCCAGCAGCGGAGCGTGCGCACTCAACCGCTAAGCCACGGGGCCGGCCCAGTAAGCCTTTCTTCTTGATCGATTCAGAAGAGCTGAGAGAGAACTCAGCAGGGACTCGTTCTGCCCCTGGGGTTTCAAGGACCAGGTGTCACTTGAAGTTTGGTCTGGCTGCGTGCGTGGCCCCTTCTACAGGAACCACTGAACTAGACCCCTCCGAGGTCTCTCCAGTTCAGCTCTCTTCTGCTCCCCCTGAAGTCGCCCCAGAATCAGCTGCCCACACACACCCCCTTCCCTCCATCTGCCCTGGACAGTCAATTCCTGTCCCCAGGCTCTCATCCAGCTTCAGGGCCCCTCGATTCCCCAGGGAGCCCAGCCCCCACACGGTAGCCAGCGGGCGGCACTGACCTGCGTACCAGGCACGGGAGTCGCGCTCCTCGGCCTTGCCCAGCCACCGCTGGTTCCAGGAATGCGCAAAGTCAATGAGCAGCACCAGCTGGATGAGGATGAAGAGGAAGGAGCCCACGACGCCAAAGTAGAACCAGACTGGGTGGGGAGAGGGGAGGCAAGGACATCAGCTGTGGGGCAACCTGAGGGCCAGGGCCCATGACCCCGCCAGGCTTCCCAGGATTCCCGGGGCAGGCACACTCCCATGGTCTCTCTTTCACACACACATTTATTCATTCAACAACCATTTGAGCCACACAAACTCTGTGCTGGGGACACTGAGAAGAAGCAAAGTCCCTTCCGTCAGGGAGCCCCTAGCCACACACAGAGACGCAGTGTGGCAGGGCAGGGGTCAGGGGCAAAGAGGGTTCCCCCCGACCCCGAGTTTCCAAAGGCCATGTGGCCAAGCCCCAGAGGGCTGTCTCCTGGGTTGGGGCAAGGACCCAGCCAGCAGCCTGGGGTCCGTGTACCAGGGCAAAGAGCAGCCCCCACTAGAGCTCCTCCCTCTGGAGACCCCACCTCCCTCCCAGTAGTCCCCCCATCCCTCCCCACCAAGGCCGCCTACCGTCGGAGAAGGAGCCGTCAGGGATATAGAAGGCGCCCACGGTGATGCCCACAAGGACCAGGAACTTAAAGAACCAAAACCTGTTGGGGGGGGGGTAGGATAGACAAGAGAGCTGAGTGCAGGGAGGGGAACAGGCCTGACCCCCAGAACCCCACCCCCAAAGAACAGGTACTGAGAGAGGTGAAGAGGGACTTTCTGATGGTCTTTTGGACACAGAAAGTCTGTCCTGGCCCTAGAAAAAGCCCTGAGGGGCAGGAGAAAGGACCAATTAGGTGAGGAAGGCCACTTGAGTTCTAGCCTAACTGTGTCACTAAAGTGCTGTGTGGCCTTAGGCACGCTGTTGCCTTTTCTGAGCTTTATTTCCTCATCTGAGGAACGGGAATAACTACACAAGCTGATCTCTGTGCCACTGCCCTCTGGCTTCAGTGGCTCCTGAGTCTGAGGGTAGGGTCTGGAGACCGCTGGAGACAGGCAGAGGAGGGGGCAAACCACTGCGGGAGGGTCCCGGGGTGCAGGGCAGCCCCCCGCTCACCCGTTCTGGACGGCAGCCCTGGGGTCCCGGCTGCTGCGCACGCAGATCATGAGCAAGGTGAAGAGGAAGAAAAAGGCGGCCATAGCGAAGCACATGCGGTAGACAGCACGGAAGCCAAGCAAGGAGCCACAGTCGATGTAGCCCTGCAGGACGACGGGGGTCCCGGCCCCCTCCTCACACACCCAGGGCAGCTGTGGAGACAGACGGAGCGGCCTGAAGGCCCCACCCCACCCAGAACCCGGGAGGGAGGCTCTCACAGTGGGGCTGAGCTGAGCCCCAGCCTCCCCCCTCATCTCCATCCCACCCACCTCTGCGGCTGCAGTCCTGTGAGGGAGCCCCCGGAGACAGACGCCCAGTTACACCTTGTTACTATCTGTTTACTTCCCTGTGATCCGCCCACAGCCTCTGGAACACCTGGCACTGTCTAAAGCAGGATTTCCCAAAGCGCTCTCCACCCCTCACCCACATCGGAATCCCGGCAGATTCCTGTGGAGAACCGAGATTCTGAGGCCACGCTCCCAGAGAATCAGAGCCTCTCAGGTGGGGTCTGGGAATCTGCATTTCTAGCAAACTCCCCGGGGAATTCACACCTTTATACACACTAAAATGTGAGAGACACTGGCCTAAATGTCCCACTGTGTCTGTGCCGGGCTATGAAACACCGAGATGAAGGGAGGTTAGGGGCCCCAAACTGGGCTTGCGCCTCCAAGTGGGGGATCCAGTGTCTAGGGGGCAATCGTGATTAATAAGATTTTCCCAGGGAAGCATCGCCATGTGAGGCTCACACCCTCTTCCCCACATGAAGAAACAAGCCCCCGTGGCCAACCTCAGATCGTCAGAGTGCCAGAACGCTCCTGCCCACCTCTTCTGATTAGCAGCGCCCCCAAGCCGGGGCCCGCTAGCCCGGAGCAGCTGAGCCTTCCCCAGAGGCCAGGGCCCGCAGGCTGCTCCCCCCGCACCCGCCTCCCCCAGGGCTGCTCACCTTGTAGAGCTGACTTTCCACACCGGGACTCAGCATGATGATGGACACCACCACGCCCAGGAAGAGGAAGACGGTGAAGATGAGGCGGCTCACGGTGGAGTTGCGGCTGGCGGGGCAGCAGCCACACAGGATGCAGGGGGCAGAGCCGCAGAGGCAGGACGCCTGCAACGGGGGCAGGGGACGGCACTTATACTTTGCCTCCTCTCCCCCTCCCCGCCCAAGCCCGCAGCACCCACCACCTGCCCCTCCATGTCTCCAAATCTGCATGGAGCCCACCTGCACGGCCCTTGGCAGGGGCACACCTCTTCCCCAGGTGTCAGCCCATAACTTTCAAGCCCGGGGGAGGCTGAGGAAACCAACCCTCAAAGAGACCGGGTCACACAGGGTCACACAGTCAGTAAGAACAGAACCCAGATTCAAACCTGCATCTATCTCAGGTGTTACTGTGTCTTCGGAGAGAGAGCTGGGGTTACACTGTTTCTTAGAGAGAAGTAGGGTAGTAAAAACATTTTCTTAAAAAATTCAGAAGGCCAGCTGTGTCATTGATGATCTGTGTGACTTTATACAACTCAACCTCTCTGACCCTCAGTTGCTTCTTCCATAAAATGGGAATCATAACAGTACCTACTTCTCACACAGCAGTTGTAAGAATGAAATAGGAATTTGTGTGTGTGTGCGCCTTCATTTTTTGTTTTCAATAACGATCACTTTTTTTTTTTTTTTTTTTTGGTGAGGAAGATCAGCCCTGAGCTAACATCTGATGCCAATCCTCCTCTTTTTTGCTGAGGAAGATTGGTCCTGGGCTAACATCCGTGCCCATCTTCCTCTACTTTAAATGGGACGTCGCCACAGCACGGCTTGACAAGCGGTGCGTCGGTGCGTGCCCGGGATCCGAACCTGCCAACCCCGGGCCACCGAAGCGGCACGCAAACTTAACCGCTACACCACTGGGCAGGCCCTGCAATAGGAATTTTAAATTGTAACCCCCTCAGGGTCCCTTTTCTCTTCCCTGCTTAGATTTTCTCCACAGGGCCTATCATCTGATTGGCTGTATATTTTATTTCTGGCATGTAAGCTCCACCAGGACTAGAATCTTTGCCTGTTCTGTTCACAGAGGCATTCGCAGAAATGGGAACGGGGCCTGGCACACAGCAGGAGCTCCGTGACTACCTGTTGAACGGATGTAGAGTGTCTGGCATAGACCAGACCTATGTTAAGACCTAAGAAACAGCGGGCGCATGATAAACATCTGTTGAGTCAATGGAATGAAGAATTGTGAGTGGCTGTGATTTCCCGTCCTGGGGCTGTGCCAGCTTTGGACAGCAGGGGTGGGCTAGCCTTTTCCGTCTCTGGGCTCCTCTGCCCAAGCCAGCATCAGCCCCATTCTTCCCTGGGGCTGGCTGACATGATTTAGGGTCTGGTGATGCCACACCATTCAGAGGTGGCACCCTGAAAGGAGACACCCCACTGGGAGCCAGGTCCACAGCCCAGCCTTTGAGAAAACGGGCCCACATCCAGATACATCTGGTCAACTGTTTATCTTCCCCCAAACAGCCCAACTCCTCACCCAGGTAGTGAAGAGTCTGGAGAGCAAGAAAGACACAGGCCCTGCCCTCCTGGAGCTTCCAAGGCTGAAAGACACCCGAGACGTCATTATGTCATGTAAGTGCCAAGAAGAAGACATACGTGCCGCCAGGAGAGTGACTGATGGGGCCAGTTTAGACTGGGGGGGTGGGGCGGGTCCCTTCTCTGAAGAAGTGACATTTAAGCTGAGAACTGAAGAATGAGGAAGCACTTGCCAGACCCAGGGGAGGAAAGAGTGTTCCAGACAGAGGGAACGGCGCCTGAGGCGGCTCTGGGGCGGGCACAGGCTGGGCGTTGGAGGAACAGAGAGAAGGCCCCTGTGGCCGGAGCTTCAGGAGCAGGCGGCATGTGGTAAGTGGCGAGGTCGGCTAGGCTGGCAGGGGCTGGCAGCCACATGCAGGACCCTGGTGTCCATCCTAAGAGCAGTGGGCATCCACTCGAGGGCCTGAAGCCGGGAGGCACAGGTACAGCCCTACGCTGATGATCCGCTTTGTGGACAGCACGCTGAAAGGGGCCTCTTGGCTCCTTGGAAACCCTGCACCCTGCCTTCTGGACTGGTCACAAGGCATACAGCACCCTCTGCTTGAGGTGTAGCTGCCTTCTCGTCTCCCTCTCGCTTTCCCCCACCCCGGAAATGCTCCTGCTTACCCGTCTCTCTCACCCACAGAGCCAAGTACAACAAGGATGCTAAACGAAATGCTTGCAGAATGAATTCTCCCTCGTGGTCCAAATCTTAACAGTCCACCCATCCAGCAACGTCTGGTTACATCTTGCAGCCCCCACTCCAAGCCCTGACTCCTGTCCACAGCCACTTTTTGGGGATGAGGAGATAAGCAAAATGCCAGAAGTGTTTTGTAAACCATAAAGAGCATTCGGGTTATCAGACAGAGAAGGCTATTAGTTCAATTTAGAGATGAAGATGATGAAACTGAGATCAGAGAGGTTACGAAACTTGCCAGAATGCACACTGCAAGTGGACAGCAGTGCCGAGATTCAAGTAATAATGGTGATGGCTTCCCTTCATGAAGAGTTACTCAGTCCCAGGCACTGTGGTACACACATTATCAACATTAAGCCTCAATGACACTACAAAGCGTGTTGTTACCTCCCATTTACAAATGGGGAAACTGAGACTCAGACAGGTGATATGACCACGGTCACACAGCAAGTGAGCTGAGCAGCTGGAATTTGAGCTCAAGTCTGTCTGCACCAAGAGCCGGCTAACTCAGAGATGGCAGTCTCATTTAATGTCAAAACAGCCCAGTGATGAAAACGATCCCTCCAATGCCGGAGAAAACCGAAGGAGGCCAACAGGCGGTGATCTTGGGAACCAGGTGCCCAAGGGCCCGGGTCAGGGCCTGGCTCTGGCTTGTTACGATTTCAATTCGAGACACTTGAGACCCAAGAAAAGCTGACCCACTGCAGTCAGGGAGCCTGGCCTTTCAATTCACTCTGGTCCTTGGAGATCAAAATCCAGGTACTCCTGAGACCTGAGACCTCAGGATTTTCCAGGGCCTGGCCAGCACCAGAGAAAACAGGTCAGGTCCCAGCTGCTTCCAGAGCATCCTTGGACTTGTTTGTAGGTCCTGACCCAGTCACTCCACCTCTGGGGATCACTCCTACAAGGACCTCTTCCTACGGAAGCACCAGCCCACAGAAGTAAATGCAGACACGTGCACACACATATACACGTGGAAGTTCACTGTGGCACTGTTCACACCAGGGAAATAATAGGGGACAGCTGAAAATAACTAAATGCCCATCAATACATCCTGGAACTCCTCTAAGAGGGGTCTCTCTGAAGAATGGAGCAGACATACAGGTAACACTTAAATGAGCACATGTAACCAAATACAATTAAATATAAATTATACCCCAATAAAGTTGATCTTATTATTAAAAAATTAAAATTTTAAATTAAGAAAAAAACTAAAATAGGCATAAAGCTTTAGGTTTTATGAGCGTATTAGAATATGAAGAAACTGCAAATGGCCCAAATGCCCCACCCCAGGGCAGCGTGGTGGCCCATTTACTCCTTGGAATGTTATAGGGGTGGGAAAGGGGAGAGTCACCCAGCTGCAGAGCAACGGGGACTAACGTTTATGACGCAGTGGGAAAGGCCAAGGCAGGCACAAAACTGTTCCTGCACTATGACTACAATCAATCACCCCACCCCCAAATGCACTCGGCGAAAGGCAGCAATGGAAAAGCACCGGAACACTCAGAGTGGCTGAATCTTAGCACCAGCCAGATTCTTGGAATGGAGAACTCAGAATTTAGGAAGCCCTGGGCCTTAGAGTCTCAAAGTGGCAAGGTTCCTTGGCATTTAACTGGTCCGGCCTCTCTCTAATGAAGAATCACCCGGAGTGCAGCCGGCCATCTGCGGCTTGCACACTGCCAATGACAAGGAGCTCACTACCTCCCAAGGCAAGCTGGACAGCTCTGGGGCTGTGCATGGTTTGGCGTGGTGGGAATATGCTGTCACTGAGTCACTCACACTCTCTCCCGGTTGTCCCTAGAGCCAGGGACACAGGTTCTGAGAACCACTTCTGGGGCACTGGGTGGGCAGGGGAGGCAGCTGAGGGTTGGGGCCACAACTTAAAGTTGTTTTCTGTACAACAAACCGGCCCTCCACTTCTGGGTATTACTCAAAAGATCTGAAAGTTGGGACTCAAACAGATATCTGTGCACCCATGGTCAATGCAGCATTATTCACAATAGCCAAAAGGTGGAAGCAACCCAAGGGTCCATCAACCAATGAACAGATAAACAAAATGTGGTATACTGATACGATGGAATATTATTCAGCCATAAAAAGGAATGAAATTCTCACACATGCTACAACATGGATGAACCTTGAGGACATTATGCCAAGTGAAATAAGCCAGTCACAAAAAGATAAATACCGTATGATTCCACTTGTATCAGGTACCTAGAATAGTCAAATTCATAGAGACAGAAAGTAGAATGGTAGTTACCAGGGGTTGGGGGAGGGGCAATGGGGAGTTATTATTTAATAGGTATGGAGTTTCAGTTTGGGAAGATGAAAACGGTCTGGAGATGGATGGTGGTGATGGCTGCACAACAATGTGAATGTACTTAATGCCACTGAACTGTACACTTTAAAATGGTTAAAATGGTACATTTTATGTCATGCATGTTTTACAATTATAAAAAAGGAGGGGCAAGGAGTTTTCAAGGAAAAGTAGGAAGTTAGCTAAGTGAGGAGGGGAAGGGTAATCCTACAAAGGAAATAGCACCTGCAAAGCTCCGAGGAACTCTGTATTTTCAGGGTAGCTGGGCAAGAAAGGAAGCCGGAGTGGTGATGGGGTGATGGCCAAGGTCCCTGGGGGCCACGCCAAGGAGTCTAGACTTTATCCTGAAGGCAATGGGGAACGATTGCTAAGGAGGAGGCAGACATAGATTTGCATTTTAGAAATCTCACTTGGCCACAGAATGGAAGACAGATCCAGGGAGTGGTGTGCAGGACCTTTGGAACAGGGCCGTTTTCAGTAATCCAGAGAACCAGTACCAAGGAAGAAACAGATTCTAGAGCTCTCATGGTGCGCTTCACCCAA